CCTATATTCCAATAAAATAGAAGATAGTGAAGACATCGATAAGTTTCTTAAGTCATATGATTTGCCCAGATTGAGTCAGGAGGATACACACAATTTGAACAGACCAATATCAATGGATGAAATAGAAGAAGCAATCAAAAGACTACCAACTAAGAAAAGCCCAGGACCGGATGGGTATACAGTGGAGTTTTACAAAACCTTTAAAGAAGAATTAATACCAATACTTTTCAAGTTATTTCAGGAAATAGAAAAAGAGGGAGCTCTTCCAAATTCATTCTATGAGGCCAACATCACCCTGATTCCGAAACCAGACAGACACCTCAAAGAAAGAAAACTACAGACCAATATCTCTGATGAACCTAGATGCAAAAATCCTCAATAAAATTCTGGCGAATCGGATACAAAGGCACATCAAAAAAATTGTGCACCATGATCAAGTAGGATTCATCCCTGGGATGCAAGGATGGTTCAATATATGGAAATCAATAAATGTTATTTACTGTGCATTTTCTTTTGTGCAACACAATTTTACATTAAGGAAATCTTTTTCTTTTGATTATGAAGTACTTTAGACATAAAATCATATGTTTTTATTTACACATTACTTCCTACAAGAAAATTTTAGACCTGTGACATTTGTATTCATTGTATAGCCCTAAATTGAAAGACTGTGCTAATTGTTTTTGTAGTGTTGATTATAAGTTAATAAAATATACTCTAAATATATCTTTTAAGTCAGTAAGACACTATTAAGTATCTCTAATAGTCTGACCCCAAACATTAAGCATTTAACTATATATTTTTGGAGAAGGAATGATATGTATGATTATAAAGGTAAATATGGGCTGGCTGCAGTGGCATAAGCAACCAGCTACTTGCCTAGCATGTGTGAGGTCCTGGGTTCAATCCCCAGTATCATGGGTACCACTGTTATAATGCTATAGGTATTAAATTATGCCAACACTTTGAAAATTAGCAACTTTTTTTTAAAAAAAAGAATGGATCTTACAGTAATGAAAGTAATTTATCAGTAAACTATCAAGTGAAAGAAGAGATAAAAGTAATTCTCTTATTCATCTCTTATGGTTGATGAAAACTGAAAAATAGAAGAGACTTAAAATGGAAATTCATATCTAGTTCTAAAAAATAAATAATGCTTTTTAATCATAGGCAGTCAGAATTAATTTGGACATCATAAATACCATCATAAATTAGTTAATTATGTATTTCTGTTTCCTGTTCCTTTTTGATGCTCATAGAATTGGGAAGAGGTTTAATAGAGGTCATCCCACTCGGAGCCTTAAGTCTTTTATTGCATCTTCTGATATTAGTTACATCAGTAGTTCAGGAAAAAGTTCTACTTTTCAGGTAGCAAGTGCTGTTTATATAAGGAAGAGAGCTTGTTTTTAGGTACAGATTTGTTCTTTCAATTTGTTAATTTTAAAAAAATTGTTTTCTTAACTGTGACATTACTCCCATGCACATGTCCTTTTAAATTTTCAAATGGATATTAATTTTTGGAAGTATCTTCAAATTAGGGGCATAATGTGGTTTTTTTCTTATTAAGTTATAGGGCATAAAGATGGACTTAGGCCCATTAGCATTTAAGATACTAATTTAGAAAGCAAGTATGTTGTATATTGGTTAGAATGTTAGCATTGTATTCTTTTTTCTCTTGTTATCTTTTTAAAAATTAGTAAATATATTTGAATTAGAAATGGATTAGACTTTTAGACATTACAATGTGTATTAGATATCTCTGGTTTTCCAACAATACCATAAGCTTCTAATATCTTGATATTAATAGTCCGTGAGTCAAATAAGCACTATTAATTTTCACATATCAAACTGAAAGACTGTGAATTATATATTCACTAATGACTTTTTTTGGTAATTATTTTAGTTTGTAATAGTAGTTGTGGACAGTACAGACAGAGAGAGGATTTCTGTAACTAGAGAAGAACTCTACAAAATGTTAGCACATGAGGTAAGTTATCTTTTTACATAAAATGCTGGGTGGGGGCAGAGGGAGTATTTGTATTACATTTCTTTTTAGTTTCTCTTGAAGATGCCATTTTAAATTGTTTGAAAAATTGTCTGCTGTCTATTCCTGATGGGCATGCCTATTTTATGATTTTGATACTTCTAAAATTTGCAGATTATCTGGAAACAGCAGAAAGTTTCTGGAATTAACAGTAGAATGTTATTTCATTTATCATAGATGAATTTGGAGTAGAAGTTTTATTAATAAGAATAATTCCTAAAATTACTTTTTATTTTACATTTTAAATAAATTTATCATACAGAGTATTATCATTGGAAATAAAGATTTTAAAATACCTGAGTACACAGCAATTTAGGGATTGAACCCCCAGGGGTGCTTAACCACATCCCCAGTCTTTTTATATTTTATTTAAAGACAGGATCTTGCTAAGGCTGGCTTTGAACTTGTGATCCTCCTGCCTCAGCCTCTTAAGCCGCTGGGATTACAGGTGTGTACCATTGTGCCCAGCTGCAATTCTTAAAATGTTTCTCATTTATTGGACAGATATTTAAATGTCTTGCTTGTTGCCAGACATGGTAGCAGAGGCCTGTAATCCCAGCAACTTGAGAGACTGAGGCAGGAGTATCTCAAATTTGAGACCACTGTAGGTAACTTAAAAGGGCTGGGGATGTAGCCCAGTGGTAGAATGCCTGTGGGTTTAATTCCCAGTACTAAAAATAAATGGAATGAAACAAAACAGAATGAAGTAAAATCATGTAGTAGTTGTTGCTCTTAGGCTTCTCTGATACTGGTTTTTTTTTTTTTAGCAAACAAAATTATATGACTAGCTACATTCTGTTATTCTTTGAAAAATATTACTAATAATATAAGTTAAAAATTAAATAAGCTACTACTGGTGATGTAGCGCAGAGGTAGACAACTTACCTGCAAAACAAATAAACTGAATAATTCAGTCAACTTAGTAATAAAATAGAAATATAAAATCATAATATTTACTATAATAGCAATTTTTCTTTTGAATGTCTTTCATAACAAATGCCACTTTCTCATATTTATAAGTAGGAATAGAAAAGTTAATATTTAGATGTATAGAGATTACTTTTTAATTTCAGTAAAATTTTTATAAAGAAAATTTTAAATATCTTTATAATAAAGATATATATTAATTTACTATTGATTTGAGTAATTTTTTTTTTTTTAAGTTTAAGAACTTTGGTATTCAGGCAGCCTTTCCTGACTTAAGGAAACCCAGTGAAGTGGTTTTGTAATTGAGATTCTTCATTTCTTATGGTGGTCATACCCACCAAATTGCACCTTTGCCTAGTTGATTCTATTTTCTGACAGCCATGTTAAACCTCCTGGGGTTTTTAAGATGTAAATTTTGCCATTGTACATTCATTTACGAAAAGCTGTTTTAGTTTGGGTTATATGCAGTAAGCCATAAAAGAGGCAGAAAAAAAAAGATTTTCTTTTTCTTTCCAACTTTGTATTTTAAAAAATTTACTAGCATTCTTCAGTTTGAAGGGTTGTTTTGTGAAGACTTTGGAAAGAAAAATAGATATCACATGTTGTCTCTGGGCTGTTTTTTATTTGTTAATAGGTAGTATCCCTATTTGATATTTGTTCTAATTATCCAATATGTAGCAGGATCAGTATTTGAAGAGCCCATTAGCAGGGCTCCAGTAAAATTTTTGAATTTTATTAGCTGGGGGCATTAACTTGGACAGATCACTTAACCTCTTCTGTTACAGGTGAGTGTACTCTTGAGACCTACAAAGTTATATGACTAATTAAGCTTTTTAAGAGTCAGGATTTGAATTTAGGCATTCTTGCTCAGCCTCTTTGTTCTTGATGGGCTGGGGAGACATAAGTAAGGCCTAACTGGAAAGTGAAAAGAGTCTGAATAGAAGATTATGGAAGAAAGGAATTGCAGATAAAGTTGAGAGCTAGCATAACTAGGGACAAGTGGATCAGAGAATGAGAACATGTCAATGAAAAATAAATTTAGACATGAGGTTAGTGGTACATTTCATAGTATTATATTAACCAACAATATCTTATTATCATCATTGATAATGATTCTTCACATGTATTCCAAAATATAAAACTATAAAAAAATTTAAAATACTTTCTGAAAGATTTTTCTTAAATAAAATATAAAACTTTGACACTAATTTTAAAATAGTTTCAAGCACCAAAGTCTGAATATTCTTTAGAATGATTCAACTTCTAGGAATTTTCTTCACAAATGAAGCTTTGAGAAACAAATGGACACCCATGTATGACATATAGAAAATGCTAAGTAAATGTCTCTTCCATTGCTGTTATTTGTCTTCTTAACTAAAATACATTTTAGACTCTTAAGATCAGATAATCTGCAATACTTAGCTTAAAGTTTTTAAAATGGCATATGTACATAAGATCACCATTGTCCACCTTATGCTTTGACCTTTTGTTAAGTCAAGCTAATAATAAGTCAAGCCTTAAGGTTATCTTATAAAAAGCAATGGAAGATTTTTCTCGCTAAATATTTAAAAAATAAGTAAAATAACTGTTTAATCAAGAACTCTAGATAAAGTTTGGGCTTTTGTGATCTAGAAAGAATTATATTCATTTTTTTTGTTTTGTTTGAAGACTTGATAAATGACTTTATTTCTTGTGTTTTTATATTTCCAGTTCAAGGGCTTCTGTAAATTTCAGCACTAAGTGATGAGCACAGATTACTTACAAATAAAATTTAATTATGTATCTTATGCCAGGTATTTGACAGAAGTTTTTTCTTTGAGCATACCAGCAGTAGCAAACCTGACCTATATAAAAGACTTCAACACACACTTGCAAGAGATATTGAAACCTAGAAGATAAGAAGATAGGAATTAAATCTCATGGAAAGTCCATCTACTTAGTTATTCAGCCACATATCAACTATTGATAATGGTTCCATTTTCTACTTGAGAAAAATATTATATCCTTTATGATGACTATATATACTTAAGTTATAGTATTTCCCTTCAATATTTTTGCCTTTTATATAACATGTGAATTGAACTATAGGTGAGACTAGTTGAACATGAAATTTTAAAACTGTTCACATTCTAACAGTATCTCTTTTTGAACGTGGTATTCAGGCAGCTACATCACTAGCTATAGTAGCATTAATAGTTGCCACCCTGCAGAGGGCACTCTAACTAAAAATCAATCTTGATTATTATATAAAATATTTTGCATAATTCTTTTTAATCACAAAAAATTTACCACTTACATTTTTTTATTTATATAACAATCAAATGAGTCATCAAAACTATATTCTAACAGGAGTAATGTAAAGCTATCAGCTTGTGCTTATAGAAGATATTGCTTTAAATATATGTACGTTATTAAAACCAAACTATCCTTTTAAAATCCCTCAGAAGAATGACAGCATTCAACACAATTTAGAAAACTTGCAAGCATAACCTTAGTTTTGTTAGTATCTCTTCATATATATAGGCAGAATTTTATGGGAGTTTAATTCACTAGTTGAATTGCATCCTTCAGGGATTCTTGGCCTAAATGGGAGTTAGGGTATCTTTTAAAACACTAAAATTACATGTAAATTTAAAAACATTTTTGGCATATATACATATGTGCATTTTTTGAGGAAAAGATCTGTAACTTTGACTAGATTATCCAGTAAGTCTCTGGCTTTAAAATAGTCTGGGGTTGGGAAGAAGTGTGGCCAGAAAGATACTAAGAACCTTGGGCCTGTTTTGTGAGTAAAACTTAATCATTTTGGAATATGCACAATTATTATGTTTAGAAAAGGATAGTATGGTGTCTTTCTCAGATGAGATACAAAATAAATGTTAATTGTAAGGAACAAATGCAGAAAGTTTTAAAAGAACTTGCTCAGAATCATAGCATAGAAGTGGTATAACTTACTAATCGAGTAAATTTGATAAATTTAATGCTAATAAGATGACCTTATGATATATTTATATCTAAGAAATCTTCCTGGACAAACAGGAGTTAGGTCTCAGTATGGATAGGATTGATTTAGAATAGTGCTTCTCAACTGAGAATTAAGCCCTAAGGCCTTAAGGCATGCATTTTATGTAATGAATTCCTTAATTTCCTATGCATCTAGAAGGTATTAGCTATGTGCATTGTTGGGAAACTTGTAGTGTAATCACCCACATCATTTTCTACAGTTTAGTTCTCATATGGAACCGTGGTTATGAAAGGCTGGTTTAGAAGGTAATATATGCAGGTAAAGTGAGAGCAACATCGTCTCAGAGGTGTGAATAACATGATTTGGATTTGGGACTGTGTAGAACTGTTCAGAGAGCAGTAAATAGATTGCTAATTAGAGTGTTTTATATAGTGAGTGATGATTGGTAAGGCAGAATATCTAGATAAGGTAGAAAGGTACAAGTAGGGTAGGGTTTTGGAGAACTCTTAAGTACCAGGATAAAGGGTAGCTCTTAGTAGCCATATAAGCCTAGTCATGTCATTGGGTGGTGGGTATATTTTATATTTGAACAGATAATTGTTAAAAAAAGTACTTAGAATCATAAAAATATAGTTTAAGGCTGTAAGAAATATGTAAATCCATACTAGTATATATTTATTTTTTCAAAATGTGTTTGGTGTTAAGTTTGCTTCTATCAGCCTGTGAGCCACAAGATACTTTTGTGAAGAATCATTAAGAAATTCTAGGTTAATAAGATGAGAATCAATCTGTTAAGTTGGAAAATATGTAGAAAAATAAGTTTGTCTTTCAAGTTTTGTTTGTTTTTATAGGACCTAAGAAAAGCTGGATTACTGATTTTTGCTAATAAACAAGACGTTAAAGAATGCATGAGTGTAGCAGAAATCTCCCAGTTTTTGAAGCTAACTTCTATTAAAGATCATCAGTGGCATATCCAGGCATGCTGTGCTCTTACTGGCGAGGGGTAAGAACATATATTTAGGTAACATGTATTTAGCATGGAAATGTTTATGTCTTCTTAAACCCAATAAATATTTAAGGAAAAGATTTAAGAAATGGTTGATGTCTACAGTTAGACTTTTTAGGATGTTTTTGTAAATTCTAAAACATACAATATAAACATAATATACGTAAATCAACTGAGCATATAGATGATGCAGTTGCTGTAGAAACTCAGAGAAATGAGTGTGTCATCAAGAGCTGGAGACGTCAGGAAATGCTTCTTATGATAATGATGGACTGCAAGAACTAATGCTGAGTATATTCCATCTCAGGTGCTTTCCATATGGTGCCTTATTTAATCCTCAGGGAAGCCCTATAGTCTATGTTAACTCATTTTATGAATAAAGAATCTGAAACAGAAGAGGACCCATGCATGAGACTAGTTTAGGGATATTTGCATTGCCACTAGTGTTGTCAAGAGAAAAATTTTACGTTTTCAAAACAAAGTTAGAAGATAGTATGGCCCATGAAGATAGCAATGGCATGAGGGTCCTTGGTTTTGGAGTGAGAAGAGTTGAAGTGTAGGTTGATCCTAACAGTAGGATTTTGCCCAGGTCTAATGCCCAGAGATGAAAGTATTTCCAGAAGGAGGTGTTAGTCAACTTTGTCAAATACAAGGCCAACAACAAGGAGGATAGAGAGTATGTATTAACTTTAACTGTGAATAAGTAAATTCAGTTAGAGCAAATTCTCTGTATTGGAAAGTAGGCAGAGGATAAGAGTAGTTCAGAGAAGAATTAGATTTTAGAAAACCAACTGTAAACTCTTGGAAGGAGGGATGATATAGAGGAGGTTGGAAATAGAATAAAAAGCTAAAAAGAAGAGCCAGGCTCAGTGGAACTTGCCTATAACCCCAGCTACTCAGGAGGCTAAGGCAAGCGCTTTGCAAATTTGAGGCCAGTCACAAAGGGCTGGGGATGTAGCTCAATGGTAGAGCACCTGGGCTCAGTCCTCAGTATTAGGGGGAAAAAAAGGGAAGAAAAATGGTTAAAAGAAGGGGCAAGCTAAAGTTTGGTTTTGTCTTTCTTTTTTCAAAGATATGGTAAATCTCTGTGTTATATGTTTGTGCATGCACACAGAATAAAGAGTTAAATGACAGAAGAAGGATTCTAAAAAAAGGCCTTAAATTTTTGGTTGAGGTTCTTGAGGTATTCAGAAAGAGCAGAAGCTTGAAGTATAGATGAATGAAATAGGTAAGGCAAGAGAAATGCTTTTCCTTTCAAGATTGATGAACAGTGAACTATTAAATTGAGTTTCTGAAGCCATATCTTATTGAAATAGAAGATATTATTACAGACATTCAGAAGAGCTAATTTTAACTTTAAAAAAAGCAAATCTATTCATTTTTTTAAAATTTCAGACAATACCAGTTACCCATATATTTACGTAAAAAAAGTTATGTATTTGTCAAATAGTTTAATATAAATATAGAAAGAGAATGAGGCATTGGGTTCCATCTTCAGCACCACATAAAAATAAGTTGAATACATGTTGATATATATATTTCAAAGCAAAAACACTTGATTATAATATTAAATTTAACAGTAAATATAGTCATCTAGGAATTTACTTAAGATTTAATTTGTATTCTTTGATAATTAATTAGAAAATATATACAGATTACATATGAAGTCAACTACATTTTAAAAAGAATAAAACAATAGATGAAGATGTATTTTCAAACTTTGTTTCAGGTGGGTTTCTATTTGTAGCAGTTAGCCCGGAGAAATGTTTAGTTTTGGGGAAAAGGTTCTGTTCCCTTCTTAATTCTTGATACTTTGGTCCAAATTCTTGATTTTAGTTTTGTTCAGCATTTTGATTCAGTGAATTTGAGATCACAAACTTTGGAGCTTGTCCTCATTTTTATACTTATTTTTGCTATTTGCTAACCTTGCTAAACCTGGATTTTCTCTGTAACATGGAAAAAAATTCCCGGATATAGTAGTGTACTATTCCAGATACTCAAGAGGTTAAGGCAGGAAGATCAGAAGATCTCAACTCTGAGACTAGACTAAGCAACTTGGAAAGACTCTGACTTAAGATTTTAAAAAATTAAAAGGGTTGAGAGTGTAGCTCATTGGTAAAATGCCAGGGGCCCAAAATCACCAGTACCAAAGCAAACAAATAAATGGAAAAAACAAAATCATGGGATGGCTTCTGACCTCACTGTAGTGAAGATTAATTAAAATAGTAGATGTTGGGGCTGGGTTGTAGCTCAGTGGTAGAGCACTTGCCTCACGTGTATGAGGCACTGGGTTCCATCCTCAGCACCACATAAAAATAAATAAATAAATAGTGGGTGTTAAGTCCTTAGAATAGTAATAGTTACTAATTTGCTATTAGTTAAGTACTGTTCATTTGTTGCTTTTCTTATTGTGCCATATTTCTTATCAGTAGTTTATAGGTAGAATTTAGTTAAAGGAGAAAAATATAGGCCACAACTATTTGTTTACTTCATTGCCATTTATTTTTATCTTCTTTTATAATATTAGACTTGTACTTGATACAAAAATCTGAGTTTTAAAAAAACTTTAATATTGTACCTTCATTTTGTTGTAATAGCACTTGAAACCATTTTCTTCTTGCTAAACATTTAATTTCTCTTATCACAATGAACATCCCTGTGTTTTGGATTAATCCAGTTACCCATTGTTCAGCAATCTAATTGGTGTTATAAAATTTTACTGCCCACAGATTTTTATATATAAATGTAATATACATACATGCTTACTTTGTCTTAACAACTCTGCTATATAGTTAATTTAATATCCTGCCACTTGTTTCATGTATCTCATAAGCATTTTTGGTATCAAAATTTTTTGAAAGGACAATTTTAATGTTCGTTCTTTTTTTCCTGTTAAGAATGCTTAATGAAGCGCTGAGGGTATAGTTCCATGGTAGAATGCTTACCTAGGCTTTATGAGAGCCTGAGTTCAATTCCCAGCACTGCAAAAAAGGCTTTAATGAACAGTCTTATGTGTAAATTTATAAATAATCCCTTGATTTTTTTTTTAGGATACATTTCTAGAATTAGAAAGATTTTTCTAATTTTTTAATATTTTTGTTATCTATTGCCAGATTATGTTCTGTTGGTATTCATTGTGTAATTAGTAAGCTCAGTTTTATGTCAGCCAGAGTGTTCTAGATACTAGAGATATAATTAAACCAAAAGCATGGATGTACTGTGTATATGAGAGAATGGTTTCACTGCAACAGCACCTGCATTGAATACTGTTGATTTTTAAAACTCTGTTGTTCAAGTAAATGAAAAATATCATCTTTTAGTTTGTAGTCCATAGTTTTAGTTCAGAATTTAATCAAATGATTTTGGTTTCTTTATAGATTATGCCAAGGACTTGAATGGATGATGTCACGACTTAAGATTAGATGATCTCTACTGACCTCTTCTCATAGACTTTGTATAAACAAAGTGCTGGACTTTACCTGAAAGCTGCAAAAATTAATGGTTTAGATATATTTATAATAAACTGATTTCAATTTTTT